GGACAGGGGCGCGGGGTGTGGGGACCCGGGAGGGCTGGCGGGGAGGGGCGGCGGCGGCCTGGAGCCGGCTCCGCTCGGGGTCGGGCCCGAGACCCCTCCCCTGCTCGGTCGGGAGCGCGGCGAACGCGCGCAGACAGCGGAGAGCGGAGCCGGGCTCCTTTTCTCCCCCGGTCTCCTTTCTTTCCAGTCAGCGAAAAATCGACACCCAGGAAGGTAAAACAATAGCGGGGCCACCTGGGACGCGGCGCGCACAGAGTGCCCACATTTGGGGCGGGGGGCCGGGCTGCAATTGAGGAGTCCCGTCCCCCCGCCTTGGAGCCCGCGCCCCCGGAGAGGGTGGGGCGGCCCACGGATCGGGGATCGGCTGCGGGCAGAGGGAATTCCCAGGAGTGTAGCGTTGGGGAAAAGTATTCCAGGAACAATCAGGCTTCCCACGGTTGTCCTGCTCTGGGCAGAGAAACCCAGGCGCCGGGAAGTGGAGCGATATGCCCAAGGTCAGAAAGCGAAGGTTGTCTACTCAGGCCCAGGTACGGGACCCAGGTGTCCCGACCCTCCCGCTCCTCGGTTTTGCGTCGGTCGTGTTTGCCTTTGATAAATTCCCTGTATTTGTTTTAGATATCTACCGGCGTTGTGGGTCCGCTTCAAGGCTACCGAGCGCCAACTTGCTTCGTGTGTCCTGGGCAGGATTGGGGCAGCTGGCACCCCCGTGAGCCACCACAATGGATAGAGACGGACTGTGCTGATGAAGAACCCACATGATTGAGCTCGGCCAGGTTGATTTGGCTGTCAGAGGTTTTGACAAAACCTGCCCGGTTCCCTCTGGGTAATCCGAGCGAGGAAGATTACAGACACCTTCACTGGGAAGCCAAGGACGTTTCTGTATAATCAGGGGATGAAAGGATTTTCTCAGACTCTTTCCCCCCCCCTTTTCCTTGAGGATTAATCCTGCACAAATCGACAATTTCAGTGGAAACGCGAGGCATACGATGTGGCAGAAGCCTCCAGCGCTTTCCGAATTGGTGTGGACCCCCCATTTGGCATAGGGGAGTTAAGCCCAAGCCACCCCCAGGCCCTTCCTGGTGATCTCTCTTCCCCCATCCCCTCCTTTTCTGAGTTAAATTCTATTCCCAAAACCTTCTTTTGGAGCTGTAAGTGGATTGCTCGAAATGAGAGATTAAGTGTTGGGAGAAGAGGAAGCGCCCTGTGTTGTGTCTCCTCTGGCTGCTGACATGAAGTGCTTTTTCCCAGTGCTGGGCTGTCTGGCGGTGCTGGGTAAGTGGATCGGTTTATCAGTGCGATCGATGTGAAAGTTTAACCTGCTGTTAGTTCCTGTAATTCGTTGTGGTTCTTTCCCATCAACACTAGGCTTTGGGGGACACCAGGAGGCAGCCCTTGTGTGTCACAGGTTGGAACAGAGCCCCCAGGGTCCCATTTCTGCTATAGGCAGAACGATTCAATGTCGCCTGTTGTCTTCAAGAAGAAACATTTGCTCTTCTTATTGAAGAGTCTGCCTGGTGCCAGGGGGTGAGATATGCGTGGTTTAGGGCCCCCATGTGGGTTGTGGGCTAGGCTTGTAGCATGACAGCATGTAGTGTTATACATATTACACTGCTTCTGGGCTGATCGACGTTCCTTGCTAATTGAAAGTGGCAACTTTATTCCTGCTGTGCTGGGTAAGTTGGTTTGGTGATGATGATGGGTTTTTTGAAAAGAAAGTGGAAATAGTTAGACTAGAGGGTTGAAGGAAAGCTTTGCCTTACCTAAGTGGCTTGTAGATCAAACATATTTGATGGTGCTAGTCATATGCTCCTTCATGTACACACACACACACACACACACACACACACACACCCAAGGCATATCCTGCAAAGAGAGACTGCCTGCTGGGAAATTTATTGGGGTTGGGTTTTGTGCCCCCCACAGACAGCCAGAATGCTTGGAGTGGGAGGAGGAAGCCATGGCCTGAAGAGGCGAATTAGGGTCCCCTCCTCATCAACGAGGACCCCTCTGCCCAATACTTGGTCATCCTAGTATTCCAAAATAGATTTTGCGTCATTGTGTGCCATCTTAGCTGTGGCATCTTAGACCACATTTCATGATGAGGACAAACTTCCTTGCTAACAAATGAATTCTGTCTCCTCCAACTGCAGGGGTCGTCATTGTTTCCAGGGATCTTTGTATCTTCAAATCTAAGTGTCTTGCACTTACAGGGTTTATTTATGATCTATTATTAGTGGAAAGAGCCCTGGTGGCCTAGTGTCTCATGTATTGGGTTGCTAACCAAAAGGTTGACAGTTCGAGTTCAGCAGTCCCTCCAAGAGACACAGATGGGTAGTCTATTCCGCAAAGGATTTACAACCTTGGAAACACAACAGAGGGTTGCTGTGAGTTGGGACCAGTTGTGGGCAGTAGGTTTTGGTGAAGTTGTCATTGGAGATTGCTTTTATGCAGTGTGCACTCTTGCAAAAGTTAACAGATGTATGGAAGGAGAATTATCTTATGAGGATCTGGGTTCAAATTCCAGCCTCTTATGATTGACATCTAAGTCTTAGTTAAATGAGATGAGACCTTCAAGGGTTGTTGTGACATGAGGTATAAGGTATCCTGCATGGCTTGACTGCCCTGAATACTGTGGGAAACATGTAGTAAACATTTTAATTCAGTGGGTTTCAAACTTGGAGCCATACAGGGATCACTGAGAGAACCTTTACAGTTTATGATTTCTAAGCAGCAACCCCAGACCACTTAAATCATACTCTCTGGGAGAAGGAGCCCACATATTAGTCTTTTAGGTCTCCCTGTTAATTCCAGTGCATAGTAATTCCAATTGAGTTTGAGAGTTAGTATGTGTGTTCACTTGTGCCTGGCTCCCCCCTCCCACCCCACCCACTGTGACAGTAACTATATTCAGTCTTCTGCTCAGGTGTGGGTAGAATATAGATTGTTGTCTCCATATCTCCATGTATGCTCAGGCCAAGACCATTCACCAGTCCCTAACTACTGTATTTGTTAGCCTGTATGCATTTTCACTTACTGTTTGGGCCTACACCAAACCTTAGTGATTCATTGGGACAAGAGGGCTCAAACAAAAGAAGCGATCAGGGGGTTTGGATATGGGATGGAGTGTGTGGCTAAGAGATATGAGTAGAGGGTAGGACCAAGGATGGGAGAAAGAACTACCAGTAGGAAAGCAAGGGTAGACATTTGTGTCTTTTGGCTATTTGAGAAATATTGGGCTGGCTGCTGTACCCCCTACTGTTCATCCTCTGGCACACTGCAGGGACAAGAGCTCATGTCCACCTTATATGTAAATAAATGCTGTGGAGGAGAATGCATCTCAGAGTGGCGTTAAAGGGAATCTGTGGCAAAAATCCAGCCATAGGTACAAGAAGGAAGCTTTGGGATGGTGGATGTGTGTAATAATCTCCACCTGACTTAGGGAGTCACTCATGGAACCTCATTTTTTATCAACATGTTTTATCAGCATGATGTCTCAGGGAGAGGTTGCTACTAATTTTTTTTTTTTTTAATTTTTACTTGTGATTTGAGTGAAAGTTTATGCACTGAGTTGGTTTTCCAGCCAACAGTTCATACACGTTTTGTGATGGCGATTGCAGTTCTCACAGTGTGGCAGCACTCTTCCTGCTCCCTCCTTGTGGTTACCATTTCCTTTAGTCCTTCCCTATCTCTTCCTGCCTTCTGGGCTTTATTTCTGGCTTTATCCTACCTCTTTGATCTCATATGGTTGATTGTTCTAAGTAAGGTATACCTCCTCATGTTGTTTTAGTGTTAATGTGCACCCTGTAAGGCTGTTGTTGGATGAACGTTGAGACATAGGGTGAGTTCAGTTCCAGACAGGCAAATAAAGGTCATAATGTCAGAGATTCTACCAGGCCAGTAAGCTTAAACTTTTATTATTATTATTATTTTGAGCTTTGTCTCTATTTCTCTCCCATTACCTAAGATTTGCTATTGTAATCCCTTTTAAAGCATTCTTGCTGCTCCTTTCTTAACCCTGAAGAAGCAGAAGCTGTTTGGAGAAAGAACAGCATCCATATTTGGGCCGTATTTGCTGCCTGTAGTCCGATGTGGTCTATTTCGTGTGCTGGCATTCTTGCTGTGTAATGAGAATTAATGTGTAATATGAAGCAATGTGTGACGTGAACTTAGAATAGCAAAGAACTCCAGGGTTTGTCACATACTTGGAGTAAAATTTTGTAAAAAGTAGGGTAAAGCTAAGTGTTGTGGAAAGTGGAAGTGATGCAGCACTGGACTCTGAATCTGACACTTTGCTTTAGAAAACCCTGTGGCAGTCTGTGAGAAAGGTTTGCAGGGTATGCCTCTGAGATGCTTGCAACACTATTGACATCATTAAAGCTGTGCTTTTCCGATCTCAGTATTTGCTAGTGCCCAAGATTTGGATCAGGTTTCTTTTTCTGCCTGTCTGGATATCGATCCCTGTGTACTTCTCTGTCCTACAGAAGCTGCACGGTTTTCTACCTGCCCTCTTGACCACTGTAACTTATTTCCTTGTGTTTTAGCCATTGGGTGCCTCACCCAACCCAGGAGCTATTAACTGCTGCAGCATCCCTGGTTCAGTTCCAAAGCCATTCTGTGCATAGTCTGTTTGAGCCAAAAAGATAGTAAAGTCTCCACTATCAGAATGTGGTGGAAGCAGAGAGGTTGTATCTGTGAAAGGGGGAGGATGCCTTGCATGAATGTGGAGTGAGAGAGTGAGGAGAGAAGCAGAGTGATTTGTGACTGTGCCTGGGAGAAGCTTGTGTGAGTGAATGACAGTGATGTGGAGAAATTATAACAGTCTGGGAGAAGTAGAATAGAATTTGTATCTCCAAGAACAAGAAGAGAAAAATCAGGGAAGATGAATGTAATGAATGTGAGATACATAAATCAAGTTTTCGATTTTGCATTGTTTAGTAAGAGTTATGCCTGTCAGACTGGTGCTGATGTTGCAAACAGGAAGGAAGAGCTTTAAAAGTGTTAGTAGTGAAAAATGTAGGAGATCAGGACTTCACTGGATCAACACAGGGGAACCTGTAGCTGGCTGAAGAGCATTGTGATCTCTTCCATCTGAGAGATGCTCCTTTAGAGCCAAGGGAACCTCTTGTTGAACTAGAATGAGGCCGAGGAAGTAATCACTTATATCCCAGATAGTTAGAGGAAGTTTCTGAGGGGAAGATAGTGATTCCAGGCGAGGTTGAAAGAAACTTATTAAACTGTCTATGAGGCCTTTCAGTTCAAATCATTGAGCCATCTTTGGGCATTTAGGGCTGTTCTAAGATCTCTCAACTTCCTGCATTTTTCATTGTAGCAAAAGGGATTAAGGTAGAAATACCAACTCTGAGGCCTAAAACCAACTATGCAATGTATAGACTTTGCAGCATTGTTTATTAAATTGAGGTCCAAAGAGGTTAAGTAACTAGCCTAAGGAGAGTTGTTGTGCCAGCTTGCCATGGTGCTCCATGGACCCACACTCCTGTTTCCATGTGCTTGAACCCCATATCTGTCCTACCCCAGTTAACAGGAAAAAGGGTGGGATGGGCAATGGTAGGCCCTCTTAATTTAAGGCCACTTCCTGTAAATTATACATATTTCTTATGCTTGCATCCCCATTGGCCAGGACTTTGTCACGTGACCATGCTAAGCTACAAAGAAAACTGAGCAATGTTATCTTTGTTTTGGTGGTGTATGCGCAGCCAAAAGAACAGCAGACTTTATGGGGAAATTACTGATCTCTGCCATAGGCATGAAACTGTTCTGTACCAGAGCAGGATTTGGAAAACAGGACCAATTGACTCTGAATCCTGTGCTCTTTCATTTAAAAAGCTGCCCCTTTTCTGAGTATGAGGGACTCTCAGAAGCCTCATTGAAAAGACATGAGCTAAAATAAACCAGCAGTTGTTACGTGGGATGCAACATAAATCGGCATATAGATAAACATTCGATGTTGTGGTTTTAGTAGTAAATACTATTGTGTTTATAATGCTTATTATCTGCCAGTTACTGTGTTAAATACTTTACAAAGCCTACTAAAAACCCATTGCCATTGAGCTTGAGCTGACTCACAGTGGATTTTCAAAGATTGCCCATCTTTCACCAGTGGAGTTGCTGGTAGTTTCGAACCGTCATAGATTTGCTGCCTTTTGGATTCACAGCACAACTCCCTGTGCACTGCACCACCAGAGCGATCATCTGTGTAAGTGCTTAAGGGTCAACTTTGTCAAGGTCTTGACTGTAGCTGCAGACTTCAGCCT